TGTACAGTCTCAGGGTGCTGGATTTGGGGTGAAACCCTCCATGCATTGTGAGGAGCTTTTTTGTCTGGATGTCAGTAGCCTCTATCTCCTCCTTTGGCCATTTTATTGCACCAGCGGGGTATCTGATGATGGATCGAATCTTGTTTTTCCCATTCAGCTGACTTTTCAGGACCTGCCGAACTCTGTAGGTATTTGGCTGTGGCGGACTTCCTTGCTGCCTCCTCATGGTTTCCGTTAGCCTGCAGCACCCCAAGGTATTTGTAACTTTCCTGAACATCTGCAATGTGGCCTTCTGGTAGTTCAACCCCCTCTGTTCTGATCATTTTCCCTCTTTTTGATACCATGCGGCCACACTTGTCCAGTCTGAACAACATTCCAATGTCATTGCTGTAGATCCTGGTAGTGTGGATCAGTGAGTCGGTGTCACACTCATTTCTGGCATATAGCTTGATGTCATCCATGTAGAGGAGGTGACTGATGGTTGTTCCGCTTCGGAACCGGTCTCCGTAGCCAGTTCAAGTGCATCGCCTTGTTATATGCCGCACTTGATGGTGACTTGTGCAATTGGCTTTGAGTTGGCTTCCAGACTTGCTTTCCACAGCTCCATTGAGTTCTTGATGAAGGCCATTAGTGTCCTGTTAATCCTGTTTCCAAGTATTCCAGTATCCATGTATGTGGCATTGAGTCGTAGGCTTTCTTGTAGTCAATCCAGGCGGTGCACAGATTGGTCTGCCTGGTCTTGCAGTCTCGAGTGACTGCTCTATTGACCAGTAGCTGGTGCTTGACCCGCCTGGTATTACTGCCCATTCTCTTCTGGGCCCTGTCCATGTTTTGAGCCATGTGCGTACTCATCTTAGCTGCTATGATGCCTGATAGGAGCTTCCATGTTGTGCAGAGGCAGGTTATTGGCCGGTAGTTGGATGGGATTGTTCCCTTCTGGGGATCCTTCATGATCAGGACTGTCCGTCCTTGGGTTAACCATTCTGGGTGGGTCCCATCCATCAGCAGTTGGTTCATTTGTGCTGCCAGGCGTTCATGGAGTGCAGTTAGTTTCTTCAGCCAGTAGGTGTGGATCATGTCACGGCCTGGTGCTGTCCAGCTCTTCATACCTGCCACTCTTTCTTGGATGTCTGTCGTTGTAATGGTTACTGGATCTTGTTCTGGGAGATTGCTGTGATCTGTTCTTAGCTAGCCACTGGGCATTGGTGTTGTGGGATGCCTCTTTCTCTCATATGTTCTTCCAGTACTGTTCAGTCTCAGCCCTGGGTGGATCTAATCTTGTGTTATTACCCTGCCACTGAGAGTACACTTTGGATGGTTCGGTGGAGAACATCTGGTTTATACTCCTGGCTTCTGCTTCTCCCTTGTATTTCTTTAGGTGGGTAGTCAGAGTGGTAAGTCTTTGTTTGGCAGTCTCCAGAGCCTCAGGTTTAATTCAGGGGTTAATGCTCTTTGTGGCTTGTGGTGTTCATCTTATAGCCAAGCATATCTAGTATCACTGTTGCTGTGGCATTCATCAGCTCAATGGTCTTGGTTATGGCTTTAGTAGGGGTAGTATGTAGTGCTGCATTCACTTAGGGTACTTCACTTAGCCTTGGCAATCTTGGTCAATGTACTTGGGGGTCCAGCTTGGTTATGATCTTCAATTGTAGGTCAGTCGTCCTTATGTTGAGTATATATATATACACTCACCTAAAGGATTATTAGGAACACCTGTTCAATTTCTCATTAATGCAATTATCTAATCAACCAATCACATGGCAGTTGCTTCAATGCATTTAGGGGTGTGGTCCTGGTCAAGACAATCTCCTGAACTCCAAACTGAATGTCAGACTGGGAAAGAAAGGTGATTTAAGCAATTTTGAGCGTGGCATGGTTGTTGGTGCCAGACGGGCCGGTCTGAGTATTTCACAATCTGCTCAGTTACTGGGATTTTAACGCACAACCATTTCTAGGGTTTACAAAGAATGGTGTGAAAAGGGAAAAGCATCCAGTATGCGGTAGTCCTGTGGGCGAAAATGCCTTGTTGATGCTAGAGGTCAGAGGAGAATGGGCCGACTGATTCAAGCTGATAGAAGAGCAACTTTGACTGAAATAACCACTCGTTACAACCGAGGTATGCGGCAAAGCATTTGTGAATCCACAACATGCACAACCTTGAGGCGGATGGGCTACAACAGCAGAAGACCCCTTAGTGCCAATTGGGCATCATTTAAATGCCACCTGAGCATTTTTTCTGACCATGTCCATCCCTTATGGCCACCATGTACCCATCCTCTGATGGCTACTTCCAGCAGGATAATGCACCATGTCACAAAGCTCAAATCATTTCAAATTGGTTTCTTGAACATGACAATGAGTTCACTGTACTAAAATGGCCCCCACAGTCACCAGATCTCAACCCAATAGAGCATCTTTGGGATGTGGTGGAACGGGAGCTTCGTGCCCTGGATGTGCATCCCACAAATCTCCATCAACTGCAAGATGCTATCCTATCAATATGGGCCAACATTTCTAAAGAATGCTTTCAGCACCTTGTTGAATCAATGCCACGTAGAATTAAGGCAGTTCTGAAGGCGAAAGGGGGTCAAACACAGTATTAGTATGGTGTTCCTAATAATCCTTTAGGTGAGTGTATGTATGTATGTATGTTTCATGTAGCCTACAAAATAATACCAGCTCTGTTTTTGCTGATATGTTATCCTGTTTGTTTATGCTTGTTCTGTGTGTGTACTGTACATTGAGAGCATAGATGTGCCTATGGATAGGCTATATATGCATGTATAGTAGCCTATAATTAAAATAGTGTGACTTCATTCTTGGGAAAGACTGCCAAGACTGTTCAAATCTTTGAATATGGAGATTTTTAAAGATGAATGTAAATGTTTTAAATAAGCAGGCGTTGCATTAGTGTATTTTATCTGCCTGCATGAAGGTGTCTTAACGTAGTTTTTATAGTGTGCTGTTGATTATGTGTAAGGTAAAACAATAGATTGTCTTTGATTGTATTGTTGTTGTTTTATGTCTGTAGGCTACTGTCAGACTTGCTGTCCTGCTGCCTTTCTTGGCCAAGGCAGATTTTATCTCAATGAGTCCTCCCCTAGTTAAATAAAGGTTAAAAAAATAAAAAATAAATAAAGCAAATAGTGAACAACAGTGAATTAGTGAAGGAGAGAGATTTCAGACACAGCTTTTGTCTTGTCATGTCTGAGTATATTTTAAATGTTTTGTATAAAATGCTCAAATGAATCAGAGGATGGTGTTAATGAAGATGCAGTAAGGACTGTTGATGGATTACGTGTTTCAGGGTTTGCAGTGGCAGTGTAGGTGGTGTGGTGGGAGAAACAGACCTGCTTGTTATAAAGTATGAACGCTTGTAATAAATCAGCGTAGCCCACGCGGAGCTGTGTCAGCTGACACGATGGCGAACTCAGATAGGACAGCAGCAGCCTCACGGAGACAGTTGCCACGGAGACCGGCGCACGTCATCCTGTTGCGGTTGCTGTATGCTGCGTTCAAAGCAACTCGGAAATTTTAGACCTCCAACTAGAAAAAGTACCATGGATGCCACTTTTCTACTTGTGAACTCGGAGAAAAATTATGCATCCCATTTGACATGGGAAGTCAGAATTTCCGAGTTCCGATATTTCAACGGGAACGCCCCCCTTAGGACGAATTTCTGAGTCGGAAAGTTGGGAGAGCCTCAACAACCCTGACCTCAAAATCCAAGATGGCTGCTTTCGGAATCAACAGTAGCCTATTGAAAGCTGTAGTAAAATACTGTTTATCTTTGTCTTATTTGTGTCTAAATAAATACAGTCCTGTCCAACTTATATCTGTAGACATGTTGCTATGGTATTTGTGTGTGCAAAATATAGAGTAATGTATCAATTGCTGACAATGGCCAGAGGCATCAATCTTGGTTTTCCAACTTAAATCTGTTGTTGTACTGGAACGCTATCAACTCGGGTGTGACATAATTCCCGGCTCCGACTTTCGACTTCCGAGGTAAATGGAAAGCAAATATGTACCCCGACTCCGAGAGTAACAAAAATGCAAAAGAGGCAAATAATCAACTACATTTTACTTTTTCAGAAGCTGAAATTAAATTAAATTCTTCTATAAAACTTTTTTTTCGCTTTTTTTATTTTTTAAGTATTCAACAGAAAGCTGAGGCAAGGTTTTGATCCAGTCCATTTCTATTTGTGAATGTGTAACTTTCCAAGTACTACGATGAGGAGCTGCAGAATTTAGTTAATATTGTCCGGACCATGAAGTACAAAATATAACATGACATCAAATACATTAATTTATATACTCTTAATTTTGTTTTTAATGCTGATGATTCACAATTGCTCGTATCACCATTTACCGCTCAATAGAGGAAGAGTCTCAAACTGAAATTACGTGGGGGTCACTGCAGAGTTTGTACGGGGACCGATTGAACGCTCGGCTGTCAAAATCAGTGCGAGCGGTGGATAAGCCCCATAACTCTAGTGTGGGAGACCAGGGTTCGATCCCCTCTGCAACATCAACCAGTGTGTCGCTAACTCCCCAACTCTTAGTTACTCCAGAGGCGTGAGACCTCTGACATAACCTATATAGCAAACGTAAGTTGCTTTGGATAAAAGTATCAGCTGAATGATTAATTATTATTCGTGTTGCTCCATTAGGCACGGCTTGCCTAGTTAAATATGAATAGCACATTAGTAGGCTAAATGCTCCAACTTGAGTCTAGTAGAAAAAATAATTAATTAACTCTTACCCGTTTTTCTGTTACTAAAATGTTCCTAAATCTTTCCAGAATACACATTGGTAAAAATAAAATGAAATATAGTTTATCTTTCCAAATTGTAAAAACCACAGTTATAATCAATGTTATGTTTAAATCCGAGCGGTCCGGAACGCAGCATTAGTCCTCCTGACGTCAGAGCCCCTCGCAAGATGCTAAGGAAACCCCCTGGCGCGGTCACCATGGATACTGGCGGGGGGAGGGGTGGGGTTTAGAGGAAGCGGAAGTGTCAGAGCAGGCGGAAGTGGTACTGCCCTGAATACCCTGAGCAGCGAGCAGAGGACGGCTTGATACACTCCGATCGTTCAGCGAATAAATTCGGGATTCGTAGTACGCTCTAAATGTGAGTCCACTTGCATATCACTTCATTATTGTCTTATATACAGGGTAAAGTCAGTCTTACGGAGGGAGAGGGGAGGGGGACGATAGCCCCAGCGGTGGACGCGTCCCCTGCCTCTGCGGCGGAAGGTGCCTATTGTGGTTTTGGGGCTGGGTGCGAGAATTTAGGCCGAGACTTTGTGGCCAAAATAGAGAGAAATAATCCATAAGACACCTGGACAGTAGCTCGCCGGTTCCTCGTTGTGCTGTCGAATGTGCTAATACAGATCGTAGATTTTTTTTTTTCTTTTAAGGCCCACACTCCGGTCGATGCCATGCGCGTTGACCGTGTTAGGGAGGGAGAAGCAGCACCCAAGTTTGGCCATTTTGACAGCTTACATAGCAGCAGCCGTGCCGAGGGGCCGTCGCAACAAGCAGCCTAGATATTTTAGCTGCCAGAAATAATTAAATACACTGCACGGTGACTTACTCAACCGTATCCGGACGACCGACATATTTGGCCTCATTATACGCACAACTGACAAAAGACAGATCGGCGATGTCTTTAGCTCAGCTCCGTCATGGCGTAATAGTGAAACGATGTGGAAGCTAACACACACACACACACACACACTCCCTATTTCCCGGGAGTTCCCCCCCCCTCAGCAATGCGACCGCTGTTTTAAAATTATAACTTTCTTTCTATAGCCGAGGGGATATATGTGAAACTGTCGTATTTTACTACTCTAGCCCCAGTGGCACACATTGTACCGCAGATTCATATTGAACTGGGTCAGGTCCCGTTAGCATGCTAAGCTAACAGTTGAAGGCAGGCAGCGGCCGTGGTGTGACGTTCAGTTAGCTTAGCATGCTAGCTGGCGGTAATCTATCTCTCCATCTTAAAATTCCGCAGGGGAATGCGACAAGGAGGGCGGTAGCTGTTGGAAGGCCGACTAGAAACGCTGACTTACAGACTCTTATATTCGTGGCCAAGAGGGCCGGTTTTAACCGTTCGTGTCAAAACGGTTGGTATTTAAGCCATTCACTGTCATCTCTGCTGTGGAAGATGGGCTTCCTCATTTTTTTTTTTTTTTTTTTTTTTGTCGGTAACGCATATGTCCGTTAACCTTTAACTGCAGGTTTGGCGGTTGGATAACAGCATTGCAATTTTGACCTATGTGCGTGTCGCTGCTGCTGCGGTTAACTAAATAACGCTTAATTAATGCGCCTGTAACCGTGATAAGAGGCGTTTTACCCGGATGCTAAATGCTATTGAGCATGCTAAAATGTGCTAAAATCAAACCGATTAGCCTCCAAGACGTATATTAATAATAAAAATATAATAATTAGTTATTTAGATGACTCCTGCATCCAAAGCGATTTACAACTGCTATATATGTCAGAGGTCGTGGGCCTCTGGATCAACTAGGGGTTAAGTGTCGTGCTCAGGGTTAGATTGGTGGATGTGTCACAGGTTGTCGAAAAGACAGCACTGTGTGAATGCCACATGCAGGTTGAATGTTCGTTCTCTTCATTCAACTTTGCTGAAAAAAGTCTCACTATTTCCCAGGTATTTATTACACTGTACATGTTTCCCCTGTGTGTGCTTATTTAAAGGCCTGTGAAATCAATTCTTCTATTGGGGGGGCGATGAAATCAACATCCACTTCAAATATTCATGCCAATAAATATATAATAACTTTGAGTGAATTAATTTAGTCAATTTATTGGTAAGATAAAGATAAAAAGGAACTAAGACCTCTGAAAGATGAAAAGACAAGAATTCTTCTTCTATTAACTCAGTTCCTGTTTGTCAGAGTCGCAAAATCCATTCAATTACAACCTAATTTTTCTTACTCATTAATCAATTAACAGTTGGTCAGCAAAATGTCTGAAAATAGTGAAACACCCATGAAAATCTATATATACTATCATGTAAGGCACGGGAAGTCGGCAAATGATCAAATGTTTTTTTGCTTGAATGATTAATTGGTTACCAGAGTACCCACGGGTCTTATATTTTGAATTCTACACATAAGAAAAAGTATTAAATTTCATTTACAAAGTAGTAAATTCTGTTTCAAAGGGTCTTAAATTTTGTATTGTCCTTTCGTAGGATTAAATAAATTCTGTACTGTCATAAATAAATACTTTTTGCGGTGTGACTACAATTTACTGTGTTTGGTGTGACTTGGATGTGCTTTCCATTTACCTCTGAAGTCGGAGGTCACACCCGAGTTGACAGCATTTCAGTTAACAAGTCGGGAAAACATCGCTCGGCCAGCTATTGTTTACCACTAGCCAGGTTAGCTATCGTTGCGGCAGTTGATGGGGGGGGACAACGCATAAATAAACGCATTGTGCGGTATTTATTCATACTAAACACTGTAGCAACACGTCCACAGACAGCAGCTGGACAGCACTTTGTGTATGAACATTTCTGAGACAAGTACACAGAAGTGCTAATAAACAGTATAAACTACAGCTTCCACTAACTGTTGATACTCAAAGCAACAATCTTGGATCACAAAGTTGAAGTAGTGTGGTTCTCCCGACTTTCTAAGTCAGAAGTCCGACTTAAGGGGATGCTCGCTATGAAATTTTCGACTTTGAATTCGGAAATTCCAACTCCCTATGTCAAATGGAACTCACCGTAATTATACGGCAGTGCGGGTAACGTTCCAGTTTCTGTCAGTGTTTGGCACTTAACAGTCAGTTGTTGGGAAAGAAAACTGTGACTTGCTACTGACAAGCTAATGTTAGCTCGTCATCTCAGAATGGGCATGTGTCTGAAGGTCAGAAGGCCAGAGGTACGGACAAGTTGGCGGATGAGGCTGAGGGCAGTGGTTCTGAGGTCCGCACAACAAGCGGATCGGCGTGCAAGTCAGTCACACTATGGCGAGCGCTAATAGAATAGCAGAGCTGGAAGATCCGCCTGCAGGTTCCTGGTCATTGAATGTTACAACAGCAATGGAGAGACCATTGTGTATGAGACAAGGACTGAAACGGCATTTTGTTTTTCTGTGTCTCCTTGGTAAAGTGTCAGCATGAAACAAGCAGACTCATGATTCAGTCTGCTTTGTTGAATGTCACACATCGCTCCGTTACACTTCTTTTATTTACCCACCACCGTGTCTGGCAGGTTGAGGAAATGCATGCTCCACTTGTGGTGGGTGCTGATTTCCAACTCTGGTTAGAGTTGTAAAATCCATAAAGTAAACAGCACCTTAACAATTATAACTGGTTTGTTGTTTTCAATACAAAATCAAACTGTCTTGTCTGTTTTTGTATGTATGACTATCAAGACGCGTAATGTGATTTTAAAAAGGTGCTGCTGAAATCCCTCACATGCTCAGATCAAGAACTGAAACCATGTAGTGAGCATTCATGGTGGAGATTTGACCAATACAAAACAATCAGATTTCAGTTATGTCAACCACAACTAATAGTGCATATAGACAGTTTCCTCTCAGTGAGTGTCCTGATAATGGAGGAAATGGGAATCTAAATTCATAATGAACCCGTGCACTAAAGGTCTCACCAGTTTTTTGGGGGGGAAACAAATGGAACTCTATCAGCAGATAATTGAACCCATGATTGATTGTTGAGTTGAAGGCTAGCAAAACTAAGCCGCAATCCTCAGCTGCAAATGTACACGCGTGCATCTGTTGTTCTCTGCCTGGTTGGGCTGTGAGTTTGGGTTGTAATGTCACAGTCATGAGTTAACTTACGCAGCTGATCCCGTTACCAGGGGGGTCGTCGCGCCGCAAGCAAAAGTACTTCAACGATGAATCGATGAAAGTACTAAAATCATCGTTAGCTGCAGCCCTAGTCAGCTTTAAAAAATGTCGCTATCACCTCAAGTCAAAGGGGTTATATAGACTTCTGTTATGTTGCATTCTCATCATACAGGCTGAATTTGAATCCCCTTATAAATATAAGGTGAACACAAAGTATGGTTTGTTGAAAAATCCTCTTTACAGAAATAGCGCTCTTGTTCAGTCTTTTAAACTTTTGTTAAGCTCTTAACTATTATTTAGTTTATCAGTTTTTAATATCAAATTAGATATAGGTATACCACTTATGTATAGTGATCATTTGTAAGTACTGTTGGTATAACACTGATCTTCAAAAAGCAATTAGTTTTTACAAATTCAGCTACTTTTAGAACAAATACCAGTTAAGTGCAAGTCAAAATTGAATGGAAATTGGTTGTGTCAAAGGAGTGAACAGTATGGAGTCCTCTATCATGGTGTATGCAATATTTTTAATCGTGATATATATATATATATATGATTTTGTACATTTTCTGGAAAGTCAATCAGTTGTCAATGGAAAAAATAACCGGGCATGAATGTCTATTTTTGGCTAATACAGCAAATTAGTACCTGATGAATCAAGATACTTCATTACATTGATGCAAAATTCCTTCACAATTCCAGTACTTCTGTTCAGCGATCTGGTCACTGGTTTATGACATTACCCATGGGCCAATACCTGGGACCAATTATTATTGATTTATTCAGGATTATCAATAGCTCACAATCATGAACATTTAAATTGAGAAAGTAATGTTTTTCCTCATGGGGAAAAATGATTCGGCACACTTATCTGACACCATGAATTGAATGAAAGAAAATGTCAGAGTCACAATAGAACCGCCTCTTTTGTTTGTCATGTACACAAAGCAAAGGGGTATTAGTCACCACGCATGCCTCTGTGCCGTCTGGTGGTGGTGAGGTAAATCTCATGATGTGCGTTTGAGAGAATATGGCACATCTGTAAATCTGCCCACAGAAGGAAAATTCAATGTCCATGTGAGAAGAGCACTAGGTAGTGAAGCCACCAAGAGGGCTCTGAAGGAGCTCCAGGTTCCCATTTGTTGTACCAGTTGCTGCTTAACAGCAGAGTGGGCCTAAAGAAGAGAAACTGTTGGTGAAACAAATTGCACAGTACCTTGTCTATGTGTAACGGCTGTAGGGCTGCACCTAACGATAGTTTTTTTTTTTTTTTTTTATAGCTTAATTCAACGATTATTTTTTAAATACTTGGTGAATATAATTTTATGCAAAATGTCAAAAACACCTCAAATTCATAAGGATTGCTGTGAGTAATTTTAACACTGTCACAATGAATTGTTATTTTTACTAAGTATCTAACTTAAAACTTAAAAAAGGTTATGACAGATTTAATTAATCACTGAAGTAATATGAAGTAAGATGATCACTGGTAAATGTATTTTTGGTACAGACAGTAACTGTAACAGCAGTCTGTAACATTAGAAGTCGTCCTGTGGATGAGGGACGAAACGTCTTCCAGTATCTTCAACCAAGTCCAGTTGCCCTTGACTTTAACCTTAGTTGGATGTCTGTAACATTAGTTTAATCCATTTTCTCACGCATTCTCATACAACATAAAATGGCCAAATGTTAGATGACCCATGGTGTAATGTTACGTGCACTGTGATGTAGATGTTAATTTTAACTAGAGGTGCACCGATCGATCGGCCGCTCACACACACGCTCAAACATGTGGTCAGCATGGAAGTTGTTCACAGTGAGAGAAGACGCAACTTCTGCAATTTGTAATGCCTGTAAAGTGAAAATAAGCAGTATTTTCCCACACAGACTTTACTTGGGTGGAATGGTCGCCATAGTAGGCTATATTTGGTGGCCCATTTTTTGCATTTTGCAGAGAAACAGAGTGATATTTTATCTGGTGTTATGTTAGAAGATATTTTACAAGCACGTACCAGGTAAAACAACTGCAAACACACGTATTTGTGCCGATGTATTTCAACACAGTGGTCTCTCTGAGCCAGCAGTTTATTTTCAGTTGCATATATTTGTACAAAAAAGCTCTGCCCACTAACGAGGGGCACTTTTTTATTTTGAAATGTTTGATGGAGACAAGGTCCTTTTAACCTGGTGCAGTTCTGGAGAAAATGAAGAAGTTTAGTCAGTGTTTTATTATGAACATACAATGAAATGAACTCCAGGAAGAATAGCCAATGCTTAAGCTGATGCTAACTACGAAAGAAATAACTGTCCGTTTTAAAGAAAAGTTACAAAAATGTTTGTCTATGCTGTGCAGACCTTTAAGAAATCGAAATTTGCAATTGGTGCATCTCTACTACCATCATGCGGGCGCTGAAGAAACATCTAGGAAATCATTTCAAGTTACTACTGCTAACAGAAACACGTTCCTCTGGTTGATAATCCTAATATATCGTGATAGTGTGGGGAAGTAAACAGGATTTGCGGTGCTGCCGTCTTGACAAATCGCTCCTGGATAATTTTGCTTCAAGTGTTGGTGCACACCAGTTGAACTGCTGTGATAATCCATTTTACAGCGCTTACAGAGCACCACAATGTTGGGTCTCTGTCTAAAATGCTCCCACACTTCTGATGTTTGTACGTGAGGTTTTTTTTAGCTTCAGCTTGTTCTCCGGGGAATCCTCACTTACACCAGGTGCAGAATTTCATTGTGACGAGCCGTAATTGATTACAGCCCTCAGTGTCTGCAAGAAGACATGACAAACGCTTAAACAAATTTGAAGAAGGATCTATTAACTGATGATGAAAAGTGAAGTTTTTAATTGAAACAAATCTTAATCCACACAGGCATGGCTTAAAACAAAATGTCCTGGAGTGGTTAAGTTACACCTCAGTCCAATAAAGAATGTTTGGCAGGACAGGATTTGGTGTCAACAAAGCTGTCATTCATTTTTGTAAAACAAAATGTTAAAAGGTCCATGAAGGGGGATTCTTCTTAAAGGCACTGCATCTATAGGGACTCAGGGGCCAGGTAAGCCTTAAGGACACTTGGACAGAGTGAGTTTCCCGCTAGTGGAAAGGTGGACACCATGCATTGAAACCAGGAAGTTATCAAACTTACTAACTTGTTAGTGTGCAGATGTGAGGGTGTGGGTGTATTTACATATTTTTCTTCTAGTGTGAAATAATGTTTTGGAAAATGTAGAAATAAAGGATTTTCAAGTTATTCAAATAAATTCAAACGTAGACTATTCGCCCATTGTGTGATGTGTAGATGTAAAGGAGATGGAGGCGAGGCTGTGGCCTACTTAGACCTACAGATTCATCTGGAGAGCAGAAAGCCCTCGGGGATGAAATAACTGGGAGCAACCATTTTGCTGGAAAGGGTTTTAGATGGTTTATGAAGTTTATTTTATGTTACTTTTTTATGCAATATTAGGATTCAATCACTGGCAGTTTATTAATTAGCTTTTGCTTGTGATTGTTATTATTAAGCATCATTTATTTTTCTGTATTCTCTCAATCGTGCTTATATCATGGGCCCTCAGATCTTGCCCACCCATATTTCTCACACTTGTCTATCTCTCTACCCTGTCTGTCTTCTCCCCCCCCACAGCTGGTAAATGGAGGCCCTTAATGCTTAAGTACAAACGCCAACTCTGTCTGTCTGTCCCCTGTTCTTCTCCCTACAGCCTAAAAATGGATAAGAACGACCTGGTGCAGAAAGCCAAGCTGGCAGAGCAGGCCGAACGCTACGACGACATGGCGGCTGCCATGAAAGCCGTGACGGAGCAGGGCCTGGAGCTCAGCAATGAGGAACGCAACCTGCTCTCTGTCGCCTACAAGAATGTGGTATGGCATCAATCTAATGTCTTAAACGCCCCCCTTCCCATCTGAGCTGTCACTTAGTAGCTGTCATTGGAGGAAACTGACCATTGACTGCTTATTTTTAACACTGTCGTGATTTCAAGAGAAATCGTGTTAAAAATGATGAATGAAATGATTGGCTGGCTGACCGGCCTGCCTGTCTACCTACCTACCTGCACGCACTTTGCCCGTGCACTCAGTGCGCATGAAAATGTGTTTTGTGGGAGTGGATTTTGAGGGGCATCCGCTTTTATCCTGATAATATAGTCTTCACTTGCTGTGCTGCTGTAATTTATGTTTTTCATGAAGATTTTATAGTCCAACTGTAAAAGCACAAATTATGTAAGTGCAGCTTCAGGTTTTCCAGCACTGCTGCTCTATTTATCACTGAACTTTACTTGCTTTTTTAATTTTTATTTTTTTAAAGCTCGCCAGCATTGAGTAGCATTCAGTACTTTTTTTATTGCATGTTTCAAGCTGTAACCCAGCCAGGAGGATGGTATTAAGTCACTCTGTGGGTATATTAAGTCAGGATATAGGGAATAGCATAAGCAAGCACTTCTGACATTATGAAATGAGCTCAGTGACAATAGTCATACAATCTAAAGAAAATAAACTATTCTAAAAGTCTTCATTCATACTATTTTTCATTGGTTGATTTAAAGGTTAGCCTCCCATATTTTCATTGCTCAACATCATTTCAGCATTATTAGGTTTTATGAGGAAACTGTCACATTTCTCTGAAGTGTTAAATAAAATTTAAATTGTTTATTGATCTGTGTGAAAATCATCATGATGCTCATGTGCAATGCAGTGTGCAGGTGTGCAGTGAAATGTCAAAATTAACCACTAATTGTGGTTTTAATCATGGTTACTCTATCATACTAAATCTGTATTATGTATTATTTCAGCTGTGTCTTTCAGGAATGATGATTAGTTTTTTTTGGTTGACGTTGATGCTGTTGTTGATGCCATTAGGTGGGAGCCCGCCGTTCATCCTGGCGCGTCATCTCCAGCATTGAGCAGAAGACGGAGGGGTGCGAGAAGAAACAGCAGATGGCCCGTGAATACCGCGTGAAGATCGAGTCTGAACTCCAAGAAATCTGCCACGATGTGCTGGTAAGGAGAAGGATGGGAAATGGCAGGCAGGGAGCAGGGGGGAGAGAGAGAAAGTACAAGCTGGGTGGTGATGATGGGCGGGGAGGACTGGGACAGAAGGTATAACAAGGGAGCAGTGAAGGAAGAAGATGGAACTGGAGCTGATCCCTCCTGGCTGAGGAAAGAATAAAGAAACAGTCACATGGTGTTACTCGTGGAGACTGTAAAAACGTTGCTAGCAGCAGCACTGGCAGCTGTTAAGAGTTGTCAAACAAAGCTTTAATTTTCCTCATTTTTTTGTCTCGCCACACCACTTGGTTATCTTTGCTTTATCTTTTTATTTATTTATTTTTTATGTGCTTGGTACAGAGGCAAAGGAGTGCTTGACTGGAAAGACAAATGCAGATTCAAATACCTGGGACATTTGTTAGTTATTATTGCAAGGAGCTGGGTTGGTGTGGATGTGTTGGTACAGGTACGGGCTGAGAGGATGAAACCCAATCCAGGAAGTCCAGTTTGGGGAATACATGTATGAGTTTGAAGGCTTATCAGATGATGGAACTCTTCCCAGTAGTTTATAATAACATGGCACATGATTTTACAGGGAAGGTACTACAGCAACAGTCATTTTACATTTTGTTACAGCAGTTCTTATGTAAACCGTAGAATTACGCCAATGTAATTGCAAAGTAATCTACCTGGAGTTATGTTACAATGTATTGTCCCAAACCTCCAGCCAGGTGCTCTGTATTTGCAGACACACAGTGGTCTGAGATGAATGAGGAGATTTTTGATAGAGCAGAGTCGGTCTGAACACACATTTGAAGGCATTGGTGTGCTCCAACCAAACTGCTTGTCAGAAGGTCACTTTCTGTCAGTGTGTAACACTATGAATGCTTCCATGAAAGAAGGCCTAAAGTGTGCATCATTATCAGTTTTGTTCAAGCATATGTCCATCTTTAGGCTCTAGGCCTGTGTTTGACTAAAGGATAAGATCGTGTTCAGTATTTGCATTGCATGAAAAATGACACCATATTCATTAATTTAAATGAGGCCACCATGTGCTGATGTAGTGGGTACCCTTGGCAAAAAAGCCTAAATTGTCCAGGCCACCAGGTCCCATGTTTTTTTGTTTTTTTTTAACACAGTGCTGTTCTTGTCTGAAAGCCCTTGTCTGGCTTGGACATAACTTGGCATGTTTTTTTTTGTTGTTTTTTTTTCAGAACAAATGTTCACCTACCTAGGATGCATACAGGTTAGCACTCCACCTTCATTCAAACACTTGCCTAAAGTGTTATTTATTATATACTAGGGCTGCTCAATTATGGCAAAAAATCATAGTCACGATTATTTTGTCATAATTGAAATCACGATTATTAACACGATTATTGATTGACTTAGAAAACATCATTAATTTATTGAATTTTTATAATTGTATTTAATTTAAAGAGACACAGTCACTTAAACTAACTTTGAGAAAAGTATAAATCCGGTAATACGTTATAATACAAGCACGGACCAGGTAAAGCAAGGCTTAAAACACCTGGTTTAGTATAACTAATACGTTAATTGTTAAGCTAGTAGAAGAAAATTTCTGCATTGTAAAATGTTGTGGACTTCAGCTAATAATGGTGACTAGCAAGTTATAGCAGTTACAACCCAGTTATCTCGGCTCAGGCTGAAGTAAACATGCAACAGCCTGGCAGAGAGTGAGCTAAATAAATTGTCAACTATTTTGATAATCGATTAATCGGTTTAAATAATTCTTTAAGAAAGAATAGTCTAGTAGAATTCTTCCAGTTTCTTAAAAGTGAATATTTTCTGGTTTCTTTGCTTGTTTATGACAATAAACCGATTGTGGAGAAAACTAGACATTTGAGGACATCTTCTCAGGCTTTGGGAAAGACGGATTGACGTTTTCTAGAGCATCAGCTAAACAATGGCTGAAGTAAAGCTCAGTAATTGTAGTTACTGAGTGACCTAGACAGAGTAGAAAGTCTCACTCAGCTGCTCAGATTTGGAGTTCAAAGATGCTGTCGAGGTGTTCTGGAAAATATATCATCAGTAGTTTTTGTACAGTTAAGACCTCCCAGCACCATGACCTGACTAGGTTAGAACAGAAATTGCTCAAGGTCAAACCAGACTCAAATTTTTAGCGCCTGAGCAGACTTCTAATAATATCTTCAAGGTCAAACTGGAAGCCTCTGCAGTGATGCGATGCTGTTGGAATGAAGGGAGGGAAGGACGGGTGGAGACATGCTGTCCTCAAAGCAGCAGGAAGTCTGGGGATAGCTTTGATGCATGCACAAGACAAAAAACTGTAACCTTAATCTAGAGGCTGGCAATAGCAAAGATTTAATTTTTCCCTCCATTATATTTGTTTCATTTTGAAGTGGGGCAGATACTGTTGTTGCAATTTTCTTATGACATAGTTAACATCTGATCTGCTATGCTACGTCTACTGCGAACAAACATGATACAGGGAACAACCAGAACAGGTCCAACGCTGTTAGAATGCCCCACAACCTGGTACAGACTGCTGGATGGCAAAGAGAGTGATGCTTCTGCTTGTCATCTTTTGGTTGATCACACTGCACTTTTGTTGGGCGTGTTAGCCACTGCAGACCTCTGGCTGTTTTTTTTGTGTATAGTTTGTTATGCTGAGTGGGCACTTTGGGGCAAATGACAAGGTCGAGATGGATAAAAATGTAGAGAAAGAAATTCTGAATGAGTTTGACAAAATGGATAGATGTCTTCGAGTAGGAGCCCACTAGTGTTATTTTATTATCAAATGAATGAAACTCCCGTATAGTGGCATAAGTCAGTCCTGCTCATTGATCCAAACATTTAACATGCAATCGTGATTATTTTTGACTTCTTGCAAAATACTGAATACTTTTTACTCTTAAACCTATAAAAATCCTTCAGATTAAGCAATCTGAGTAATTAATTTCCCCAAAAGCTGTCATGTCCACACTAAAGCTATAACATGTGATGAGGAGTCAGAAGTGGATATTGCTTTACTTTAATGGTTCACAAGCGAAACACGATGTTTGAAAATGTGTGCCTTCATCCTCCTATTCAGAAAGTTTCTCCTGGAATACATTTACTGAGTTGCGCTCAGACAGTTGTCATTTCATGATGCTTTATCATCTGTTAATTAAAAAAAAATATTTGTACACATGACAACTTAAAACCCAGACTGCTTCTCGCCTCGTCACAGCTGACCGATCCTGGCTTGAAGTAGGTGTGAATGTCAGATTTTGGGTTTCAGACAGTTACAGAAATGGTGGGACACAGTCGTCGCTACTTTTTAATCATCAAAAAGGTCTTGGGGGAGTGGGTTTCCAAAGCTATTCAACTATCTGAAGAAGCATACCGACGGCTTAAATGTGCTTTTAGTGACTGCCAAACGACCGCCAGCTTCCATGCCTTCCCACTGGAGACTGTGAAGCCCATCTGTAGCTGCTCATGACTGTCGCTAACCACTCCAGTTAACACTGAGGGGTTAAAGTCAGCCAGTGGTCCTTATGTGTCAGTGTTCTATTAAGCAAAGGCTGCAGTGCAAAGGCAATAATGTAGTGTAGTCAAGGTTTCAATTTACTTGTGCCCTGACAGGTTTATTTGTGTGTTACTCTGCTATTGCCGTATAAATACAAAATCTACTGGCCTGTTTTATTTTTCTGTTTATGAACCCTTCTGGTCGCCTGTCTGTTTCAGAATCTGCTCGACAAATTCCTCATTCCCAATGCATCTCAGGCGGAGAGCAAGGTGTTCTACCTCAAAATGAAAGGAGACTACTTCAGATACCTGTCGGAGGTGGCTTCTGGGGACTCAAAGAAGGGTGAGTTTCTGGGTCAATTTTCTCACTGTTCTTTAACTCTGACTTTGTTACAGAAATGAGCAAGGCTTTCTTCCCTTATTAAAGGGGGAGCAAGATAATGTAGTTGAACTACAGTGCAGCTGCCCTGGTGTTCAGTGGGATTCAGTGTCTTGCCAATGGATAGTTGAGCAGAAGGATGTTTTTGACTCGGGGGCGGGGGGCTTGAACCCAGGGAGGATTTACCCAGTGTGGCACTGAGCTAATCGGAGCCTAACAGAGTGTCGGTTTTATTGCTCAAACAAAAGTCAGTTGCTGTTTGCTGTGCTGTTCAGAGTAAATACTCTCTAGTAAATACTAAACATTTTTACTGCTTGCAATAAAGACCATTTTATTGCTTAGAGCTAGAAGTTCCCTTTTAAGTAGTTATCCACTGATGCGGCTGTTGAGTCTGCACCAACCATCATCAGTGGTAGATGTAAATTCTGCAAATATACAGTGGAAATCAGGGGCAAAATAATATATTGTACCCAGCCCTGACTCTGTAAATTGGAAACAAAGTGTATCGGACCATGCCACAACACCATTCCAGCCATGATTTATGTGTCAGGTAATGTTAAATGACTTAACCACAGATATTCAGCTTACTTTCTAGTTCAACAATACATGATGTTGTAGCTATAGCAGCAAGAGAGTTGTGAGTATCACTGTCTGGAGCTGGTGTGCTATGCTCTGGGACTGTCTCGTCCTCTCTGCATGTTTGCTTCGCAGCAGCAAATGTAGCCACAGTTTGTTAACCCACAACTTCGCTAATGCTAGTTACTTGTGGTGACTTTGTTTGCTATCATGGTATTTGTCATGATTCTGGATTTCTATTAAATCGTATACCCCATCTTAAAGGTTCAATGTGTAAGTGTTGGTGGTAAGGGTTGTGAATACAACCAACAACTTACTCACCCCTCCCTTTGCAAATGCGTAGGAAAAGCACACGCTCTGTTGGCTCTTGCGTACTAAATAATACGTGTGAAGCTCCATTTGTCCTAATTTCTCTAAACTTCTTACTTCTAACAAACCAGACGACCACTTCTTCTTCCTCCTTCTTCTTTGTTTGTATTCAATGTAGTGACGAAACGCTCTCTGTAGAGCGGCTTGTCTGTTAAGGCTCATGTAGAAACATGGCAACTTCCATGCATATGTAGATAGAAATGTCTCATTCTAAGGTAATAAAAACACAACGGTTCATTATGTAAAGTCTGTATACACCACTGAAAACAGTTACAGAAATTGCATTTCTGACAACATAAATATTACACATTGAACCTTAAGAGGAGTATTTTCAATTCACATACCAGTTTTGAATGTTCTTATGTACTGTAAACGAATAAGGCAGTTACTGAAAAGATTTCTTTCTCTAGCAGTCTCTAAACTGCATTTAAATTGCTTGAAGGCACAAACTGAGAGAAATACTTGAGAAAAATTCAGCCTTTTATCATAATCCCAGATGGTTTAGGAAATGAAAAAGAATAAAAATGTGTATCATTTTGTTTGTCCTCAGTAAAGTGAAAAGATGGCAGAGAGGGGTTAGAGGATGCATGAAGCATCAGGGTTTATAGGAACAATCTCAGTCATGTCATTTGTTCACATTGGTCATACTGAGGTTTTTCAAGTCGGTGACTCAAATGTTCACATACAAATCATTAGAGATTACAGAAAAATACATAATTATTTCACCAATTGCTGTAAAATATATTTTTTTGCTAAAACTCCTGTTAACGGTACAGACTAATTCAGTCCGTTGCCAAGAGACAGTAACACATAATGCGTTGTTGATGGGGTTATCAATCATCTGACTCTGGTTGTCATGGCAATAAGCCAGTGCACCCATTGTAGAGATGGTGACAAAGTTAGCACTCAACTCCAGGTTTGTTATTGGATAGGATTTTTGTTTTGCCATGCTAGCGACAGGGCTCTAGTCCTGCTTGTTCAGTCCATGGCTGTCCAAACTGAAATATCTCAACAAATAACTGGGCTGATTGCCATGACCACCAGCTAGTCAAATTCTCAACTCAATTTTTCCACATCCACGAGACAAATTAGCACAAAATCTGGTACAGACGTTCATGATCCCTCAGGATGAATTATAACTTTTATACCTGTAAAACTGACATTGCCATCGGCCTCAGCTGTACTTTGTAGTATTAAGGCTAATTAGCATGCTAACAATGTGGTTGGTTGCTGCTGTCAGCGGTCAGTACTCCCTGCAGGTCACAGTAAACAGGGTCCCCATTGAAAGGCAGTCCCCTTTGTACTAGGTTTGTTGATTTAAGTAATTGAGATAAATGTTCAGGATCCAGCATGTAGTGACTGGTGGTTATTTGTTTTGTAAAGACACGGTGGAGAACTCTCAGCAGGCCTACCAGCAAGCCTTCGACATCAGCAAGAAGGACATGCAGCCAACACACCCCATCCGGCTGGGCTTGGCCCTCAACTTCTCCGTCTTCTACTACGAAATCCTCAACTCGCCCGAGCAGGCCTGCGCTCTGGCCAAGCAGGTGGGTGCATAATACTGTTTGTTTATGTAAGAGCACTGAATTTTAATGTTTTATGGTAGTACAGTCTGCCAGTTAACAGTCAAGATGGAGCAGTGTCTCACCAGCTGCTGAGCTCTTACACCTGGCAGACCTGCAGTCCTCAGGCATCTGACTTGCAACATTTTCTGGACACAACGGTCAAATCAAAACCATAAAACCACACCTAAGGAGACTGAGAAAGGCGTAGTTCAAATAGGCAGGCTGTGCCCACGGTCAGGACGTCTCTTTGTGAAAGTGGAATGTCACACTACCTGACAGAACCGCTCGAGTTGAGTGAGTAATAACAAAAGTCAAGCAGCTCTGGAATGAAAGCTTAAACAGGAACCCAACTTGATTGAACAATAACAATTAATAATAATAATAAGTGTAATTTAAAAATAGCTCAAAGAGCTGCTACAAATTACAAACGCCCTTTTTATTCAAGAACACCAAAAAGAGCAAACATAGAAATGGAAGTGAGAAAAATTCAATCAGCATGTTAAACATTTTCAGATAGTTGCATCTGTGAACCTCTCTGTTCCTCCCTGCAGGCTTTCGATGAGGCAATCGCCGAGCTCGACACCTTGAACGAGGACTCCTACAAAGACAGCACGCTGATCATGCAGCTACTAAGGGACAACCTGACTGTGAGTATGCAATTTGACACCCAATTTTGTACGCCAAAAATGATCCACGAACATCTGTATTTGCTGGGTTGTATCCTAAATCTGATCATAATGTAAAGTAGGTGAAAATATTGAAGTGCTTTGTTCATTGCAGACTGCTGTGTTAAGCTACACACAACAGGGCTTTATACACGCACGACCGTGGTATAATTCCCGTCGGGTATGGGAGAAACAGATCCCTGCCAAAGCTAAAAAGAAAGACAAATTTGTTCCCCTCAGTATTTTACTATTCTAAAATTTCAAAATGCATCATACATGTTGCGCGCTTATAACAAATCCTGCTTCACAGTTAATGCCAACAACAGCGAACACAACAGCTGTGTGCGACTTGCAGGCGCTCATCAATGTTTCGGTCTATTCTGTTTGTTAGCACCGATCAGATACTGAAGAACAACAGTGTAGTTGGTTGCTTCATCATCACAGAAGCACCTACTATATAAATTTAGTAATACCTGTTACTGTTGATTATTAAAATGTGGATGGATTATTTTTAATTTATATGAAATAACTATAGTATATTTAATATTTATCAGGAGTTGACTTTCTTTTATTCAGTGTTTTAGTAGAGAAACTGTTAAAATTAAACCACATTTGTCACACATCGTCTTAGGCCTGGTAATCAGTGTTGGTGCACATAAACATTCATGTTTCTAAAAAAAAAAAGTATTGTACACATCTGAGTCTTTCTACAGTAGTTTCCTACATTCACTCCAACTAGCTAGTTAGCGACCATACCTATTATTTAATGCCAATGCGTCCACTCTCGGTCGTTGAAAAAATGGTGAAGATGGCGCATATTAAGAAGAAGTGGCTTCACCAAAATATGCCAATGGATAGTTGAGCACAGACCACAAGCACCTGTTAGCGATAACGATGATTACACAGAGCAGTGTTTGAGGATGTGGGCGGATTTTAACCTGGAAGATGTTTCACATTGAGTCTTTCAGTACAATATTTTAATTTAATACGTGAGAAATTTAACCAATTTAACAACATTTTATTCAGAATCAGTGCAGGGCTGTTGAGCATGTTTGTGATTTTTGTTTCACTGTCATGAAGCTTATATTTTTTTTTAAACTGCATGTAACTTGTATCATTTCATTGTGTAGATTAAAATATAAAGTCTAATGTTAAATTAATAGGATAAAAACACAAACACAAAAAAACACCCCATGCGTAAAAAGTGTTTTTGCAAAATTCTTAATATCTAACAATTACCCAACCCTGTCTGTGGCTCTCCAAGCCTCACTGCTTCCTACTAAAGACGTAAATCTTAGAAAAGGTACATTGATGTAAAGTTTTATTTAACGCTCAGTAATTTCCTAAAACAGATGAGCAGGTTTTAACACAAGTTACTCAAACATGAAGAAATGGTGCATTATGAGTATTTCAGAGTACGATCTAGACCTGCTCTATGTGGAAAGCGCACTGAGGTAACTGTAAATTGGCTCTATATAAATAAAATTGAATTAAAGGTTGGTGTACATGGGATTGAGTCAAAATAAACCACCGTGTTTGTGTCAATGGTTACGGAGGAACATGGAGCTCTACGACCTGGCGGAATAAGAGATATCAGGTCTTGGATGCACAAATAATACTTGTTAGTAGATACAGTCATCGTTGGTTTTTGTCATTTCATGGGATTTATTAATACAGATACTATAGACTACTGCCTTAATGAAAATGCTACTACTAATACTGACGAGGTTGTGACGTCCTTGTTTACAGTGATAGGATGACGGAAAGATATTTCTTCTGTGTTTTTCTGCAGCTGTGGACATCAGAAAACCAGGGAGATGAGGGTGAAACCGGCGATGGAGAGAACTAGAGCGCACTTCACTGTTAACCCATCCCCACTCTCTTCCTCCTTTTATCTCTCTTCCTCTTTCTTCTCTTCTTCTCTCTTCGTACACATAAAAAGCCCGTTCATTCCCTCGTCCCACTTTTTCGAGCCCAGCCTCCCGACTTCCCTTCTGTATAACCAACAGCATGAATAGTACCTGACCTTCACAAACGGATATTTAAAACAAAACAAAGGAGGGGGGATAAAAGACAAACTACTCCATCACCCCACCATCCCTCCTCCCACCCCCACCCCCTTTGATTATGGCACTCCAAGGCAGGCCAGCAGACTAAAACCACTGGCCAGTCCAGTCTTATAGCACGCAGGGAGGGTTTTATCCAAAACCACAAAATAAATGAATATCTTTTAGAGGCCACTTTCCCCCGTTTTTACCCTCCTTGTTTAATCTTTCTCCTCCATTCCTTCTGTTCTTCCCTCACTCCTCTTCCCTCCTTCCTAACATCTCAGTATGTTCTCGCACCCTCTTCCCTCCCTCCCTCCCTCCTCTCTCTAGAGAGTTAATGCATTTATATAGTTGTCTATCCCTTCTCTTTTGGCTTTTCTTAGTGTACTGGCGAATGGCTGGTTTTATTCCACTTTAAACAAAACGAAAAAGGTTATTAAACTGTCCGTTTATTTTCAACGAACACTGTGATGCTTAGTTTTTCCTCCACCTGTGCCACCAGATCCTTGTTTGGTGGCAAAACAATATTCAGCTCGGGAGGGTGTGTGTTTGAACAGCAGTGCAATTCTGCTGAGGTCTATACAGAAGGGTCCTCCTACAAGGCTGTATTGTGACACTGACAAATTTAAAAACAACAAACAAAAGTGTTCTACCTGCTGTGTAATCAAACACTCACTGTTTTCTATTTTGTTTTCTAACCATGACCCGAGTTTTATTTGACATCATTCTACATATTTCATAGTTCAGAGCTAAAACTAATTTGAAAAATGATTAAAAGCTTTAAAAAACAAAAAGCATACATTCCATCTTAATGTTTGAGAAGATTTGACATTTTCACAACAAATTGGGACCTACCTGCTTCCTTGGATCCACCTCCTGTCAAGGCGCTGTCAAACATCAGTACAGCCATTCCTAAGGTTGTTCGTTTCCCTTTTGCGATTGCTTTTCTCTCCTTTTTTTTTATTTTTTTTGGTGTGCGTTTGTGTATAACCAAATCAAACCCTTCTTTCCGGTTTTTGAAAACTGTAAAATTGTAAAACATTTTTAGAGCTTAACTGTAAATCTGTCTTTTGGAAAACTAAACGGTTTGTCGATGTTGTTCGTTAACACCTGCTTGCAATGAAAACCTTGAAGCCGTTACAGTCAGCTGCTGTTTTATGCTTTGGCATTTTTGACGATCTTATTTTTGGTACTTTTCCCCCCCTCTTCCTCCCCCAACCTCTTACTCCCCTTAACTGCTTGCACTGACAAGTCTAGAAAAGTCCACTTGCTGCTGAATGGTGTGATCTGCCAACAAAAATGCATGTCGTCATCGCCATGTAAATCAATTCACAAGCATCAAGTGGGGAATTGTACCTTCTGTAAATCAACACTTAAACTTCCTGCTTCCTCATTTCCAAACTATAAACTGTTTTTCCAGTGACCTGATAGAAAGACTTGTCAAACTCAGAGAAAGGTGTAACCAAAACCATCAGTTTGATTCAGTACTTTTTGCAAACTGAGGCCTTTTTTGGTCAAATCCAGCTAACTTATATAAACAGTCAATCTCACGTCAGGGGAAAAAAGAAGGAAGCAGTGATTTTAAGTGTTGCCGTTGGTGCAGTTTCGGTCCACAACAGGTACGTGCGTTAAAGGAGCCAAATCTCCCGGCAGCCGATCAGCCAATCATCTGTTTGTGGAAGTGAGAACCTGTAGTTTGGATCACGGTTAATGTATTCAGGCTAGAGCTGATAAACATACTTGCGTGTTGAGTTGACTTTTGGATTATCTATCGAATGCATTTAGAAAAGAGAGACCACTCGATCAACGGTACATTTTCGGGTTTATTTTCGGATCGGATCTTTTCCAGTGTGAATATTTGAACTGGCAGAAATTGGGCTTCTTGTGATTTCTCATTTTAGACTACGCCCCGTCAGTAGCAAGATGTTCAAAAGCAATTCAAATTCCTAAAATCTTGTCCCAAATTTTAAGAAATATCATTAACTTTTTCTTCCAAAGTAGAAATAGTAAAATTTTTCTTTCTTCTCCACTCAGTGTCACAATAACCTTGTCATTACCATTTCGACATTCCACTCTATAGGTGTAGAAAAGTCATTTGTCTGTTTTTTTTTTTGTTCTGTTTTTTTGCTGGGGACAATTGTTTTCATGCACTGAAGTTGAAAAAAATATTCCTCCCTGCCGCTCTTTTTCTCGTTAGCTGAACAAAAAGGCAGTTATTCTACGCTTTATAAGGAAAAAAATGATCCCATGCAGTAGTGAATGTGGCACCGAGCCTGTCTGTATATCTGGTATCTCAAATCATTTTGTTTTTACTGACCAGTATTCTGCTTAAAATAAAAATGGAAAAAAAAATAACCCAAAAAAACAACAAAAAAGTTTGCTTCTGTGACGGTTTTATTGCTTAGCGCGCACGTGGTTGTGAAAATTTAGACTTAGCTTAAGGACATCAATAAAAAATGAGAAAATGACACAAAAAAATCCCTCAACACCTCCCCCTCCCCACCGTGGTTGACGTAATACTAGATTTGTGTATGTCTTTTAAAAAAATTCCAACTAGTTTCACCTTACATGTTATAAACAGGACAAAATGTAAAAGACAATTTAAAGTGAAATAAAGGTTTTATCAGTTCCGAATCAGCCCTGTTCTGTTTATTATCACCTCTAGCCTGTTAATGCCGCATGTTTTTTTTGTTTTTTTTTCTCATATTGAGTAACTTGATTAAGGATGCATGGCATGCAGGAAGTCTAAGCTGGTCTGGAAAGAAAGGAAAACACATTTAAAACACTGGACTAGCGTAAAAAACATTTGAGGTGTTGAAATTCAGAGAATCTGTGGACATGTGACAGTTTATTAAAAGGTTTGGGTATCTCCAGTGTGAACAATTCATGACATTTGGGACAGAAATGCAAATATTCAACAGGATAACAGGCGGCTGCCATGTTCTCCAGGATAACATCTTTATTTTTTAATTTTCATTTGGTTTGCACAGAAGACAAGGAAGCCGACTGAAAAGTACTAATGTGCATACGGGCTGAAGAACCTTAATATACCGTTCAGACAAACAGAGCGACGCCTCTGCGGTCTATCGCAACGAGTCAGCCCACCGCTCCTTCATTAACAGGGTTAGACATAGGTCAGATGCTGTCTGGCTTTAATGTACTAGAGTTTTTTTTTTCTTCAAGAAGTAAAATTAACTTAAAAGGAATGGCGCTTGAACTTAATTTAACCCACTCCCCAATTAGAAAGCACAGCCGAGAGGGTTGACCAAACATGTCGTTGGTAAAGATTCAATGTAATGAAACTGACTGCAGGCTGGAGTCTCTGCTAAAGGCAACAGTATGCTTCAATTGAACAAGCTGCCAAACACTAATAAATGTAGTTTTTGGCCCAAGACAACCTGTCGTAATTGTGCCGTGCTCCTTCTTAAGTGTGAGTGCTTTCTTCTTAAAGTTTGGCTTCCCCCCTTTGGTTTGAATTGACCCAGATGAACAAGAAGAATCATGTCTGAGTGCAGAACCTCGTTTTTCACTTCGTCGCCCATGTTAACAGGTTAGAGCAGCCACTTAGCCCGTGTGCAGTGGATTATCATCTTGAAATTTACCGCGTGCGGGTCAGTGAAAATTATCGGTTGATGGTCATCCATTTCACAATAGTTTCAATGTCTCTGTAAAATCTCTTGCCAAGACAACATTTTTAATTTAACCTTACCTGTGTCCGTTTCAGATCAAAGCAACATTACGCAAGATTGGGATTTTTGTGCCGGAAACTATCAAATTGACAATATTCTAACACAGCCAAACATCAAGCAAGTGTGACAACACAAGACAGCAATATTATTTACAATCATTACATTAAGTCCAAAAGCAAGGAAGCCAGTTCAGCATCTGTCTGTCATCCTTTCAGCTCTTTTAGCTCATGGCAACTAATAAAAGCCAGTCAGATATTTACTCTGGTCCGGTCTCTTGCTCACTCTCTCTTCCTCAGACATCATTGTCTTCAGTTGTTATATAATGTAAGTATAGAATGAAAGTTCTTTGGAAGAAGCTAGCTCAGTATTCTCAATATGAATATCATGGCAGAAGGTGCGAAGAGACTGAAGACTAAGTCTGTCGAACAGAGAGTGACTGAGCAAGAGGCCAGACGAGCATAAATATCTGACTCTTAACTATACTACATAATGTTGCTTTAAAAGCCCTCTAGTGGTTATGTAGACAGAATACCTTGTTAACAATGCTTTTATTATATTTATCAAAGGCAAACTCAATGTGGATAGATAACACTGTGCATGTTGACATCACGTGTGTGAGGTAGCTGCAATAAACGTCAGAGGTAGGCAGGGTGGTCCAAGAGTTAACTGGTTTCCTGGCTCCTGCACAGAGCCATGAAAGTCTGGTATAGATTACCCTGTAAAACTCAGTAGTTTTTACACTTAAATCAGGTTAATCAGTGAGCTTTAGAGGTTGCTGGTAGTCAGATGTAGTTCCCACTAAGGGTGCGAGAAAAAAATCTATTCTTAGATGCATCGCGATGTGGACGTGGAAGATTCTGACTCTATTATAAAACGTCAAAAAATCGATTATTTAAATGTTGACGGAACGCAAAAGGCAGAACTCGCAGAAGTGCAGCGGCCATAATGTCTGTGGCGTGCACATAACAGAAAGACCAGCGTTCCCCCTTGTATTCAGCACACCACCATTGCGGAGTGAATAACCACCCTACTTAAATGTCACACAATCATTGATATCAATGCGCAAGTACTGATTTTTTTTATCTCGCACTGTGCAAGCATGGTGACACTCAACAATTGTGTATCCTGTGTGTGAGGCCGAGCGAATGAGAGAGAGGGAGCAGCAGAACATGACGGTGAAAATTAGCTAGTCACAGTGTTTCCCTTACTAAAAGTCTGTAGTTTCCCCAACTGCTGAAAAAGTGAAGGCTGTGCTAGCTAACATCTCCCCCATACAGCACGTTTCCGGCTGTTTATAACATTAGTTAAATTAGTAAAGAAGTATTAACACAGCTGTGTCATTTCTAACTAACCTACTTGTTAAGGGTTGAGAACATCAGGCAGAAGCTTAGTAATTATCCAGAGATCTTGTATAGAAAAAAAATATGCACCGATAATCGTTTTATAATTGCATTGCAGCCCTCTGAATCTTAAACGTGAGGTGCCAAAAGATTCCCACCCCTGGTTCCCACTGGACAGAACTAGGCTAGCTGTATATCTGTTTCCAATTTCTAGCTTCGTCATTAACAGAACAGTTGTTTCCATCTTTTCACCTGTCTTGCCATCAGAAAGTGAGTAAGCATATTTCCCAAAATGTAGACTTAAATATGTAGAAAAGACAGTTAATCTAGGTCTGTATATTTCTTACATTTATTTTCAGTTTAAACAGAAGGTTGACAAAAACAGCAGAAATGTGATGAGATAAAACAAAGGATCTCAGTTTCCAAGAGGTTGTTGTCGCACTGTGCAGCTTCTTGGCTCGAATATGCAAACATGAATAAGTGCAGGTGTTCCCAAACTTCCCTTGCATGATAACTGGAGGTATGATTTCTGTGTTTGTTTTAAAGCAGGAACTAACGTTTTACATTGCAGCTGTCCAGCAGAAACTAATCCAGAGCAGCACATGGAGGATGAAGACAGGCACTTCAGGCAAGATGGAGATTGCCAGGATCACCGATGAGAATTCTCATTTCACAATATAATAAAATGGGGGGGGGGGGGGACTTCAATCACAGAATGAGACAGTACTTTGTATGTGATAACCCATTTGAGGATAGTTTCACTTGGTTCACAACAAAATGGGAGCAAACTAATACACTGATCCTAAAAGTAGTAAACAACATACATAACTCAGTGGAGTGACACACATTTCAGATGTCTAAACCAAGGAAGGAAAGAAGGCAAAATAGGCAAATGATAAGAGACTGATGCTACATTCACGTCATATCAGAGATATCTCACCTACCAGTTAGACTTGTAAATAGGGTTCACTTAAACTCAAACTGGGAAACTCCAGAACAATCTGGAAGTGCATGAAAAGGCAAGGAAATACTGTTGCCTCATATCAGGTATCAAGTACGGTGTTCAAGGTAAATAAACTGAATTGAACATGCTATATTGCCATGGCATGCTACTTAACACTACACGACCAACTCTGCATTCATACAACCATCCTGATGTTGCCTGATGTTGACACTTGACATCTCTACCACCTGTCCCATATGACGTGAGCATGGCATGAATAAAATAAATTTCAATCCACTGAGAAAGACATTCATACACAAAGCCTTAGAAAGCCAAATATAGGATAAATAAGTCAACTACCTGAGTGTAGAACATTATGTGAAAAATGGCTGTTTACTTGTAATTCAAATACAGAATAAACCTTTACAATCACCAATGTTTAGATGGGCAGGTTTCCTGATGAAGTGGGCTTCACATTTTAAAACTGTGTGGGCGGAGCTGCAACAATTAATCGATCTACAAAATTTGGATATTTGATACAATCTCCAGGAATGTCAGGTTCCAGCTTTTCACATGTGAGCATTTGCTGCTTCTCTTTGTATGTGATAATATAATTGATAATCTTGGGTTTCGGACTGAAAATGTTACCTTGAGTTTCCAGGATACTGTGATGGCCATTTTTTCCCCTCACATTTAACAAATAATTAGCTAATTAAGAACATAATCAGCACCGTAATATAAAGTGAAAGTAATTACTAGTTGCAGCTCTAGTGAGTACTGAAACGAGAACACGCAAAACATGACGGTATAAAAGGTAAGACTAGGTAAATTTGTCAACTGACATTTTGCTGTACTGTGGTAGTGTTCAGCAGGAAATTCCAAATGATGGCCGATTACCTGCTGAACTTCACTTTTACAAATCGGTGATTGTAATGGCTTATTCTGAGTTAGAAATACGACGTCTGTGTTAATAATTACAGCTCTTATAAATAACCATAAATACTCAGTGACTTAAAACTGACAATAAAACTGGTGAAATCCAAACATTTCCAAAGATGAAAATGGCAGCACCCCTCCTTCCCAATACACCTTCAGTTCTCACCGATCGGAGCTGCGTTTTCCAGAAGTGTCTCGAGACCAAACTCATGTTTGTTCAGTGAGAGTGATCGGATCAAACACGTGTTCAGTGTCAGGGAGCTTTTGGGAAACACAGGCCCAGTCTTTGACTGCGGTTGAATTGTGTCACTGCTCGACTGTTTGCCGTCGCCTGACTCTTATCTAAACAAGTGATTCGTCGTCGTCCTTTCTGTAAGCAGCGCAGTGACAGATCCTTACCACCGTCTCAAGAGGCCCTGATGCGTTGTCACTTCTTCTTCTGCACCTCCTGCAGCATCTTCATGGCAGCCATGTTCTTTGGTTCCACTTTGAGCAGGGTGTTCAGGTCGTCCACACAGGCTTTGATGTCCTGCAGGAATGACAACAAAAATTTAGTTTAAAACTAAAGGTACAGGAGAACGAACAGTAAATTTGCAGGCAGATTTAGGAATTGTAGGTGCCTCCACAGGTTTGCACCATGTGTGCCCTTTTATAAATTTCTATTTATTAATTCTGTTTATCGTAAAATGATAAATCTCTCTCATGAAATACCATTACTGACCAAAC